TGTTTGGTTGCTAAAAGTCTAAAAGCATATTTTGTGTATATAGATTCTCACAGGCTTCTGCAGCCAGGTTACTCCACAGCCGACCACGTGCCAAATCCCAATCTGCAACCAGCTGTGCCTGCCTTTCAGCCGGAACTGCAACAAAGTGTTCCTGAATACGATCGCGTCCTTGATGCATGAACTGGATCAGAGAATCTTGACCCTTGCCCGCCGCCATCTCCACTGCCCTACATCCCTTGTAAGGGCAGGACATGTTTCCCATGTTGTTTCTAAACCCCCTTGGCTGGTTTCGACGTACCCTCTTCAAAGCCCTAGCAGTGATACGTAAAGCATCCTCTGCTTTATGACACGGACAGGCTTCACACCAGTTCCCCAAGTATTCGATTTCCTGCGCAATGTCCAATACAGCAGACATGGAGCACCATGTTTCAGGGCAGTTGATTGCCTTGTCGATGTCGTCAATGAAAACTCCAGAGTACATGTCCTTGCGACAAAATACCAAGTATAGTATCATTATGATAGACGTTCAACATCATCTACCAAAAGGGTGTCAGTTGCATGTCATGTGTCAGGCGGCAGCAGCAGCTGATGTTAAGTTACAACGGTGAACTTCACTATAATTGTTTGTAAATTGTTTTGTTTTTGCTAACTACTAACATTGTTCAACGCTCTGCGCATGCTGCCAAAACTCAGATTCAGCAGAACGGTACCAAGGCTTGTGTGCAGCTTTTTGTTCGACCCGTTCCACAGAGCCTGCCATGAAAACGTTCTTGTTCCAGTACTTCTTGAGTCCAGGTTCCAGCGGCTGCACCTACGCTGGCGACGTGTGAGCGAGTAGGAGTAAAACCAAACAGGTAAGGTAAGATGCATGACACATAACAAAATGGTACAAGAACATGTTGAACTGTTAATGGTGCCGCAAGCTGAGGCACTGCTCTAGCAAATTCTGTTACTTGCTGCCAACGTAGTCCACCCAGCTTCTCGCTAAACTTTTCAAACATTGCCCTTTCCCCGGTAAGTTCTCCCGCATCCCCAATGTTGACGGCCACGAATCTTTCCCTCATCAATCTGTCTGAGAGGAGTCTCTCGAGCGCCCGCAATCTCTTGAACAAGCTTTGCCACCTGAGCTGAGCAGCGACTGGGTTCAACGCAACTATGTTTGCTGTTCAGTCCCCTGTTAATTTGATTGAACCCGATTGCTACTTTACCCATTACTTGCCACTGCACTTGTTTCGACAAACTGCAACTGCAACAGGTCAAGGAACAAATTCATGGTCTCCAGCGTGGCTTTCAACAGGTTGTCCACTATATGTTTGATCCCATGCACCACTATGCAGTTCTCAAACAACTTTGCTGCCAAATCATGTGAATTCTCCAATGCAACTTCAACACCACCAGCTGAAGCGGAGGCAGAGTCAGAGACTGCCCCAGTCGGGGCTGGGGGGCAACCCTGTTTGGCCTGTGCTAGCGCCGGAGCCGCCTCCTCAGGCCCAACTGAGGGCATAGGCGGCCTAGCTCTCAAATCTAAACTCATCTCATCCTCCAAAGCTGACTGTTTGTCTATTTTTGGCTTCGCCTTCAGGTCTGCAGCTACGTCTTTCAAAAGCTGTTCAATGCTAAGCGTTGGTGCTTGCCCTACCAATGACTCAACACCTTGGTCTGTTGTAATTGAAATCACCTGTTTCGCATACTTCAAGACGCATGCTTCTGGGTCCTCATCATATGCAGTTTCAAGCATGATCTGCCACAGAAGACTTTCCAGCTTCGATGGAAACGTTGTGGACCCCTTTCCCAAGCAAGCCAAAGAGAATGGCCTCCTGTTCACTGTCAAGCCTTGCTGTGAGCCTAACAAGTCCCTCAAGTCTATGTCCACGTCCGCTTCCTGCAAGAAGCTCGCTGTAGCGTCTGATACCCTGCAAGGCAAGGCGATGCATTGGCCAGCTTGGCTATTTTCATGTCAAACTGTCAAATTGGACAAGAGTTTGCTTGGCGCGGCCAGGCCAGGCCTGGCTGAGAACTCCTCTGACATTAGGACTTCGTATTTTTGCGTTGATGCATCCAGGCCTTGTCAATGCATTGGGACTGGGACATTCATCACTCCTAGCCCAAACCCCCTCGCAGTTCACGGCTTTTGGCGACAACTCCAAAAACAGTTGGTGCCAGGCTGGGAGCACCTGACACCAACCCTGGTCCCCTAGACAATTATCCATTGGGAATTGGGATGGTGCGATAACACGCATTTCACCATGGGGTGGGTGGGCAGGGTGCAGGCAAGGCTGCGGCTCTCTGAGCAAAGAACACCTGAACACAAGGAACAACATGTTCAACCGGAAGGGGATTGGGATGTGGAGTGGAGTGATTCCCTTATGGAGTGGAGTATCCCTGCAACGTTCCCAAAACAATGTCTGGTCATGGTCAGTGAGTCAGAGTGTTTGTTACAAGCACACAATGCACTGCAGCTGAAAGACATAGCTGAATCCAATGTGATTGAAATCCACCGCAGTTCTTCCAGTATACGCGCCGTGCCATCATCAAAAAGGCGTCTAACTTTGCCCTGGCTCTGGACAAAGTTGCTGATGACGGCCCTGCCGGCAGGCCATCATTCTCCTTCGCAGTCACTGTCACAACATACACTTTGTCCAGTGCCTGCGGGTCAGTCCAGAAAACTATGTGCCAGGAACATGAACCAATGAATCATGAACCAAGGCTGAATCTCCTCCTTTGGGTCATCATCACCGTGTTGAAAAATTGAGCCCTCTGAGAAGTCAGTAGAGGCCAGTTGACAGCAAGCCTTGAAGACAGCGCCAAATGTCTCCGTGCTTCGCATGTGAATCGACCTCAAATATTGGTATCTCAGCAAGGGCATTGCCGGCATTGCAGTCAGTGCAGAAAAAGCACATTACGTGGGAGGGAAGGAAGGAGTATCAAAAGGTTGTGACAGCTGACAGCTGGTTTGGGTTTGGGCCTCTGGCCTCTGGCGACTTCATTTCAACCTTCAGAAAATGAACTGACAGTATTTCCTGAGATATGTCAGTTAGTCAACTCACTGTCAACCCTACAAACTACAAAGCTTTCCAAACTTCCATCACATTTTCCTACCTGCCTGCCTGCTTGCTCGCTGTGTACCTCCTGATCCTTTGCCTCTACCTCGCTAAGCAACCTCGCTCTTCTACCAATGCCAATGGTCACACTTACTTCCACCAATCATGCACACTTTGTAAGTACTTTAAAAATCCACTCCACTAGTGAATCTGGATAATCTTGGCAACTTGGCGATCTGCAACGCGCAATGCAGCTCTTCAGTGGTCGCAAACCAGTGAGTGCAGCATACAGCTTAGTCTTTTGGGTTTGGTTCAGTCTTCAACTGCCCCTCAAATCAAAAAATCCTTTTAGTTTAGAAAAGAACAGTCTAGTAGAAGGAATCTTGAGAGTTGTCTTGGAATTGACATTACCAGGCCAGGCCAGGCCAGTGGGAGCACAGGCACAAAGTGAGCCCCCCAGTATCTGTGTAAGGTTATCATCAGTTGAGCGACCATGAGCATGGGTTACAACCACAATGGAACCCGTTAACCCATTGCATTGCAACCAACCCTGCGCTGAATTCAGGTTTGCCTCCCTGCCCCCTGTCGCAAAAGTTCCCGTTTTTTGTGCCCAGTGACAAGCCAAGAAAGTGCAGCAGCTGGATGATAGAGTAAGCAGGACGCCCAGCTCCAGAAGTCTGTTTGATCTTGGGCGCAAATCTGCTTTTCAGCTTCTCCGACTCTGTTCGGTCCACCTTATAAACAGACTGACTGCTGAGCAGCCAGTTCTACTGACTCGAAACTGCTTGCTGAACCAGTGGATTGAATGCTTAGCCTAGGGCGTAGGCCCTAGGCCCGGCAAAAATCAAGCACCGTTTAAGGTAGTACGACTCAATTGTTTTTGGAATTCATCCCTGTCAGTGAGCCTGTCCAAATCTCAAACAAATACTACCCAGGAGCCTTGACCAACTCTTCCAACAAAGACATCCCAGAACGTAAAGCTTCCACCTGACAATCAATCAGTTCTGTTCTGACTTACATGTTCTTGCAGTGCATTGCATTGCTGCCAAATTCATAGCATTGTGTGAACTTGAGCTGACATATGAGTAGCTTGAGTCTTGAGTAGTGTTATATAGCAGTTTGACTAGCAGCTTGTAGAGTTTGCGTTTGCAGTTCTGCACTGCCGCGCTGTGCATTCCATGTACTCTCCCTCTCCCTCCTTCCCTCCCCTCCCTCCCTCCTGCTCAACATTGCCACTTGCCAGAGCCGCTGGGGCAGCAACCAAGAGTAGCTCATAAGCTTTCGCTGCAGTCGCGGCGGTTGATGTGAGAGATATGGACATGGCACATTGCCCGGCCAGATCAGCTGAGGAAAGTCAGAAAAATATACTTGGACCTGGACCTGGCCTGATAATTTAATTATGCTCAAGCCAGGCTTCTGGTTTGATGAAATTGGAAAGGAATGTTGAATGTTGTATTCCAAACTTGTCACCAACCATGTTCCATAGTGACATTGCTTCTTCATCATTCCAAACACACTGTTGTGAGCTGCGGCAGACTCTGCAGAAAGTGCATTTTGTTTGAATGCTTTGTCATTTATGTGTGTATGTATGTATGTATGTATGTATGTATGTAGGTATGTATTATGTATGTATAAAGTAGAGTACGTGTAAACACACTCACGGCAACCATAACAGCTCTCCCTAATAACAGAACTTTTTGGTGGTTGCGATATAGGGCCCACTTTATAGCTCCTATCAGTTCAGTAGCGGCCAGAATTGTGAAAATTAGCAGCTCCATGTATGGAATATTTACCTACATTGGGGTGGTTTGGGGGGTCAATGTAGGCATATATGGCATACATGGAGTGTCTGGGAGTTCCTTTCTATTCTTCTCCTTCTCCTGGCTCCTTCTCCTGCTCGGCGTCATTGCAAGGAATCCGACCCTGGCTCCAGTTTTCCCGAGGATTAGGCTCCCCCACGGTGTGGTCAAGGAGGTGATCTGTTCGTCCAAAGGGAATGACCTGGGTCTGAACATCAGGGGAATGACCATGTGTTGGATGGAATGGATATGGAATTCCTCTGACACGAAACCGATTCGAGGGTATGTGGATGCCCGTAAATAGCATTTTTGGGAGTCTCGAGTTGGATGGGAGGCGCGGCCCCAGGGAGGCCCTTGACACTCCAAATTCGCAATCCATTTGACATCGTTTGACCCATCCAACCGGGAATCCACGATCCACGCGATCGGTGCGATGGGCTGTCCGTTCACTTGTCAAGCAACTCCTCACTCACTTTACTGATGGGCTGATGGCAATTCTCTGGCAGTGTCATCTATTGTTCTCCACTAACCCAGGCAGGATTGTCCCCCAAACATTGGTCATGAGACATGGCCTGGTCGTACTCATGACTCACACCTCTCAAAGCATGAGTGACCTTGTCGTAACGCTGATGTCAAAACACACCACTCCCAAGCTGAAATGCAGTCACACACTTTCGAGTTATAAAAATACGTATTACGAGTACAGTTTGTTAAGGACTCTATGTTTCCCTTAATTAACCACGCCTTTGCGGGACCTGGGCAATGATCGTTCACAGCAAAACACTTTCTACAAACGACATAATGACCCCAATCACGACCAAAGAACTGGGTTGGCCTACACAAAAATCAATGAACAAAATTGCGTAAACACATTTGTAAACACCAAATTTCTAACCTACGTAAACCTGGTTGTGACCGGAAGAACACTTTGGAAGGTTTTGGAAGGCACTTCATTTATCTTGATTTTTTCATCCGTATGCCGTATGTGCCATCGATACCCCTGTGGATCCCAGGCAGCCACCTCTAGTTATAAACAGGGTTTCGGCCGGTCTACGGCTTAAGTCTGTCTTTTGAACAACTGGTTACCCACTCTAGTACTTTGCCTATTGAACAACCAGACAGCCTCATAGCGGCTGCCTGGCTTTGGACAGGTATGGAACCTGTGTTTTAACGATAGTGGATCCACTGGTGGATTGATACCTGTCTAGACACCGGATCTGTCATCCATCCAACCGGGTGGATCCACCTCCATTGAAATGGCTCTGAGATGTGGGCAAAGCTTCGCCGGCCACGCCACCCGCAATGCCCGCAGAGGCGACGGCGTCCATGCCTCGAATCCGTGTTTTGCACCGAACCCCTGAGGGCGGGTGGGTGGTGCCCGAGCTGGAATCCAGCGACATTGAGTTGTGTGCTGTGCCCTTTTTAAACTAGAAAAATACTTTACTCCGAGTGATCCCCACCCTGGAAGGAGATTTGTGCGGATTGACACGATGTTCTGACATCAAATCTTGTTTGTGCTCTGGCACATCATCTATCATAAAGGCTGGGAAACGTTCTGGGCTGTGTTCTGACATCTTTGTTGGCGTGTGTTCTGACACTTTTCCTGTCTGACATGTGCTGTGACATATGGACCAACTTCAGTCCTGGTATGTGCTCTGACATGTATTTCCGACATTTGTTCTGCCATCAAAGATATCCTGGCACTCTATCTGGCATAACTTCAGACATTGTATCTGGCATCTACTCTGATTATCTGGCATCATTGCTGGCATTCTGCCAGGCATATACTCTGGCACTCTACTCGGCAAATACTCTGGCACTCTCTCTATCTGGCAAATACTCTGACCTTCGATCTGGCATATCTTCTGACATTCTATCATATTCTATCTGGCGAGGTCCGGCGGGGAACACTGCCAGCCGGAGCTGGCGTTTGAGGTCCGCCGGGGAACAGTGCCATCCGGAGCTGGCGGTTGAGGTCCGGCGGGGAACACTGCCAAGCGGAACTCGCGGTTGAGGTCCGGCGGGGAACACTGCCATCCGGAGCTGGCGGTTGAGGTCCGGCGGAGAACGCTGCCATCCTGCACTTGCGGTTGAGGTCCGGCGGGGAACACTGCCATCCGGAGCTGGTGGTTGAGGACGAGGCGGAGGAGCAGGCGGAGGAGAAGGAAGGCAGCTGACATAAGATCTAACAACCCTCACCTGACATGACAGTTGGGGAAATAACAGGAATGCAGCAAAAACACCAAAGCAGTAAGATACATGTACACAATCTGTGATGCCTCATCAACAGTGGTATGTAGAATGGATTGTGTGTTTAACTGTTTTTGGGCTCCAGCAAATTGTAAAGACAAAGAACGTCAGATGACCACTGTTGAGGGAGAGACATTATTCCAAGGCAATATTGAGGTTAAAGGACAAGACCTGTGACGAATCACTTCCTGCATGTTGAAAAGTCGCTGCACTGGCACCAAGTTCAAGCTGCCTCACTTTCAGCATGACGTTGTCAATCACGCATGCAACATCACGCACTTAAGGATCCACAACAACAACTTCTTAATCCAGAGTGTCACAAAAACGATGCTTGTCCCAGAAACCGGCGATCCAAAACAAAAAAATCTGTGCTGGACATCGACAAGGCTGTGAGATCAAACCCTGTACAAGGCTGTGAGATCATTCTGAAGTGGATTCCCCTTCTAGAGTTTGAATCAACTGCCTCTCGACGCGTGTCTTGTACTGTGTCCAGTAGCCGACGCATCGGCTGTTCCAACAAGTTCTTGGTCAAATCCCTAACACGAGACGTGGAGAAGAAGAACAACTCCGCCAGCTGTTTGATTTGTTTGACCCATGCAAAACTATATATATACAGTACATACAAAAACCTACCTTATGGCCAAGTGCCCACTCGTCCATCCAGGTTGGAATCTGAAAACTTGATGTGGGGTGACGCCTGTGCTTTACAGGCATCCAGGCTATGAGTTCAAAGATGTTCAAAGTAAGAATCTTTCGTGAGTTCTTCGTGGGGTGGATGGAGTTCTAGGAATCTTCACTGGACGGAGGAGTTCTAGTCTCTAAATGACTTGGATTCAGATTCTTGCCTTGTCAAAGAAGCCTCAAGAATCCTGCAATCACACCCAAAATTGCGCAGGCACCTGAGACTGGGTCTTCCTGGTAGTATGGGTCCTGGAGAAAGATTCGGGAGAAAAGAACATCCATGGGCACCAGTGCCAGGAAAGTGAAGCTGTGTCTAGACAGCGATATTGCTGGGTGGAGTCTGATCAGCCATCGGGGGCATCTTCTCAAATTGCTTCCAAGCACTAATTGTGAATTATATATGGGACAAATTAGCGTTGGAAGACCCTTGAGGGCTCCCGATATCAAGAGGAACGTCAAAGATGTGTGAGTTGTTGAGCAAATTGTGGATCGTGGACATGAATTTTAAGGTCTAATATCAGTGGGCAACAGCAGTGGTAGTGGTAGTGGTCGTGGTCGTGGTGGTTGCCGTGGTGCTGGTGGTGGGAGTGGGAGTGGGAGTTCTGAGAAGGTCTGGCCAAAATGTCTTAGTCTTGGGAACCAGTCAGACGCAGCTGCACCTGCCCAGCTCATCCGGTTGATAGCAAGCAAAGAAGAACAAATTAATGAAGGAATGAGGAGTGGCCACTAAACAAACCAGATCCCTTGTTGGTGGGTTCTTGATGGAACAAATGATGGTACCTGCTAGAAGACCAATCAATTCTGGATCCATATTTCACATCACGTGGACGATCTGTAGAATCAAACATCCACGAAACCGAAGGATGATCCGCCCCCCAAAACGATTCTGTTGAGAACCTCAGCACGTCGCACACATCGACGACGTCAAAGCGAAGAGTTTCACATGGTTCAAAAACATCTTCAGCCGCCATGTTTAGAGTCATGTTTAAGAAAACATAGAAAAACAAATTTCTTTCTTTTGCAGAAGAGCCACGACTTTCAACAGGAGACTGTTTGACCAGGCTTTCATAGGGTGTCCATATTTTTGATTTCAACACAACACCGCGCCCGACATCCTGCCTTCGGGCAAGACTTCGGCCTCAGAGAAAGCTGGCCAGGGGTACACTGGGAAGGTGCCTCAATGTGTGTGTGTGTGTATGTTTGTTTCAAGACGAGGAAGTTCTTGCATACATTTCCCAGTGGATTCAGTTACCACACTATTGTAGGTAACCAGTGGTTCTGAAGACATAAAATATAGACCTAGAATCATTGGTTATCCACTGGGTTTGGGTATCAACCAGTTTTACCCATCCGATCCAAACAACACCATCTTCGAACTCTAAGGATTCAATCGACATCCAGGTGACAGCTGTGACGTGTCAACATCGACGCGTCAAGCGACCAGGTGCTAGACAAAGCAGGTGGTGAAGAAACTCAACATCAGTGGTCAGTATATATGTGGTACCGTTCTTCGCATAGCTGGGCTTCAAACCAGTCACCCGTACTGGACTGGTAACGGGTATTAAAGTTACTAGTACTATAGTTACCAGTGATACTCAGGTGTGCACACTAACCCACTTTCTACGACCTTGACTTCTCAACCAGGTAGTCATCCTCGGTCACAAATCAGCAACGATCATGTCCCAGGACCCTTTCCAGGGTGTTCCCAATGGGCATACTGGTCTTAGAGTCTCAGTCCATGTCCTAATGACTCTTGCGTTTAGAATCTTCTAGAATGGGACCTGGACTATCTAAAACACTCTATGGGACTCGATGGGACTCTGTTGTGGATGCATCATCTTGGATTGTAAAGTAATGTCTTCTATATCCCAAACACCCCATGAGACTGGAATATTTACATATATTTACTAGACTCCAATGGTCCAACCACCCACGCCCGGCCCCATGTCGATCAAATTGGACCGCACGGCCCCAAGGGTCGTCTCTGCTGTACCGAACGGTGACGGGTTGGATCCATCAGCACAGACCAGAGGTATGGCTCCGAATGGCCCATCAATGTGGGGTAGAGGACGCGAACCGAACGGAGCGGTCAGGGCATCGCGACTCGAAGGGAGCGATCGGACGCTACGAACCGAGTGTTTCAAGGAATCGGGATGGCGGCCGGGTCTCCGTTCATGTGATCGTTGATTGGCAGTGGTGCCTTGCTCAATATGCAATTAGTTTTAGATCATCAAAGGCCCTGAGCTTGGCCAAAAAACTACGGAGAAAAAGAAAGAACGACCAAAGACCACCTCGCTACAGCTCCGGAGGGTCTGCCTTTCTAGTCGCCTGTTGAAAACAGGGACCTTCAATGAACTTGGTTGATCTAAACCATGACTAATCCCATCAGCCTTCGGAGAACTCCCACGATGATGAAAAAACAACAACCAAACGCTCGAAAGCCCGCTAGATCGGTGTCACCATGTGTCGACACTTCAGCCACGGAGCGCGTGATTCCGCCACTCAAACTCGCCTGCCACTCGTTCGCCACCGGGAAATCGGAATGTCTTATGACACCATATGACGAGGTACTGTTTAAAATCAAGGGCGACACAAGCTGTTTAGCCAATGAGTCAACATGCCTGTTACCAGCCAGTTGCTAATTGCTAACTGTTCCAAGTTTCAAGGATGAATCCTATATAGCACCTGCGATACAGCATCGTGGATGTTCCTCAAATAGAACGCTTGAGTCTTACGAGAGCTTCCAACATGGTCCCACCCAGAACACTTGCAGATTCCATGTGCCATCTGGTGTGGCAATCTTACAAGGCAATCCCAAGCTTTTGAAGACCCAAAACATTGTACCCAAAGAAGGCCAGCCGAGCAAAAACCCCGAAACCGCCCCACATGAATGGGCTATACATACCCAAACCCACATCGAAAAATGAACCAAATAATTAACCAACCAAATGACAAAATAAACAACAATACGAACAGTTCACCCTTGCCTTTGGGTGACGGTCATGTTAAATCTTTCTCACCCGCGGCAGCTAGCGGGTCAACGTGAGATGTCTCTCAACTTCAACTGGGCAGTCTCCATCTCAGTCGAAGACAAAGACCAGTCGGGTCCATGCCTCCCTCAGCTAAGGGTCGCAGTTGTTCCTGAAGCAGGACCTGCTCTCGGATGATCTCTTGGATACTCTGTTCCTCAGGAAAGAGCACAGTGATGGAGCGAGCGTCGTGTTCACGACTTGGGGAGCGTTTCAAAGAACGTTTCTTGGGGCACTAGAGAAACCTCTCTGGCGTTTTGGATATGCCGGCTGTTTCTTTTGTTGGATCAAAAAACACACTGTGACAAGGAAGAAGATATGGTCCATAATGGATAATGGATAATTTGTTTAAAAAATATTACATATAATATATATTTTTTTTATAGTTATGTTGCTTTGATTTAAAATTATGTCAAGAAACGAGATGAAATGTAAGTCCTTTCACAACAAAGAGTTTTTCACTTTTGACCAGAGCAGCTCGCTTCAAGGGCCTTGACAAGGATGACAAGGGCCGTCACCTAGGAGTCCTCCACGCAAATACGCTTAAAGAATTGCAGGTTTTTGCGAGGGAAAATGTTTTGGAGATATAAGTCATGTGGTGAAAGCGGGAGCAGATGGGGAATCGATTGCCAGCATGTGGAAACTGGCTCAGAACTCTCCGACTTCCGCATCTAGTGCTGAAAGTTCAAGGCGAAGCCCCAAACCAAGCGAAACCCACTGTTCAGATTGGTTTTCTCTGAGAACAAGTGAGTGGAAGGTTTTGGCATACACACGCAGCACTAGTGGCACAACGTTTTAACTAAGTATAATTGGTCCAAACTGAAAGACGTATTGTCTTTCATGAAAATTAGTTCTTATCTATGTATGTACATACATAACACCTATCTATATTACCGGATCATAATTATGGGCTAGTCTCATTCAAAACTTACTCTGAGAACTCTTTATCCGAGCTCGATCATGAAGTGAGCTAGCTATTTCAATACTCGCCGAAACATGCAAAAAACTTGCAGAAAAGAAGCACTCCCTCTGGTTTTCGTTGTTTTTCGTAATTCCAGCACGTTCTTCGGTCTGGGGCCCCACACTGCCTTGGGCCGATAGCTGGTGGACTTTTGCCGCTTCTCCGCCTGAAAAAACGACGCGTTGAAACCTTTCGTTGAAGGTTTCTGCTGAACAAACTGCTTGGCAAGAGTTTTTTGAGGTGATTTCCTAGGATTCGATTCAATGGTCATATTTTTTCGGGGGAGGTGTGGTGGGACACCATGTTTTTTTTTCTTGACTTTGATTTTGAAGGACTCCCAAACGATAGTCCAACGGAAAGTTGCTCATCCCCTCCAAAAAACACAGCTTCTCAGAATGATACTCTCTCTTTTTACTATCACGACGATCCTAGGGAGGTGGATCGAACATGATCAGCGATCCAAGCAAATCACCGAACCGAAAAAGACCCTCGCTGAAGAGAATTGCCTCAAGAAATCTCAAGAAACTGAACTCAAGCCCACTTTGATCCATGCTCGCAAAAGCTCTATCGGTTTGGAAGTGCCAGAAAGCAAGTTACTGATTACATTAGACCTTGACTTGAAAACCACAGAATTGAAATGTTGAACATTACGCACTAGCACTTTAGGGAAGGACTGGAGTCACAGCTCATTCAACAGTTGAGAAACTGGCAATGCTTAAAAACTTGGTTGCAGGTACATGAGAGTGATCAGCTCTCACTTCCCTCATTCGGGTAGCTTCGTTGGACATGGCCCCCTGCATTGCTGTACAAACGGTGGTTTGGTGTGACAGAGCTCCTTAGGACCAGGACGTGACGTGACACATACACACACACACACGGTTGGGAAGCATGTCGGGAGTCTTCGTTCGCCACTCGCAGCCAAGACTTCCAACAGAGCTTGTTGAAGATGACTTGGAGCGTCCAAAACACATCAAACAGCTCACTTCCGCAGAGTTGGGCCTGAGTCTTTGAAGGTATTTCCACCGAGATTCTCGTCTCATACCTCCACCAAAAGATCAAGAATGATCACCCAAAGTGTGTCAACCTCATCTACCGTGTTTAAACATGAAAAAACTGTGCTCGTTTCAACAGCCTCGAAACAGCCACTTCTTCACCGTCCAAATCACTCGAAGCACCGGTCCACTGTGTTCTTTTTCATCACCCTGTCCCCATCCTCCCTCCGCGGGCTGTCGCCTCGGCATCCGGAGAGGCTGCCCGTGAGGTCACGGCTTTAGGGCTCAGCCGTTGGAGAGCCTCGTGGAGGTGAATCCACCACTGCTATCCCCCCAAATATCCAAAAAGACCATCACTAGGATCAGTGAATCTTTCCTTGATGTTACATGTTGTATAGATTGACTGTAGCAGATACTGTAGTAGATACTGTAGTAGCTAGGTGACCAGTTCAAAACCATTCTTAACGCATCTCAAAACCCAGTCCCATTCTGCAATGGCTCAGTGACCGGTTCCTTCCAAAAGTGATCGATCCGCCTCTTTCGCCATCCAAACGCCACGGCTGAGGGTTCCAGGCGAACCTCCTTCGGAGGCAAACGAAAGAGGACCCTCCAAGATCGCCCGAAGGATCCGGTGTTCGCTCAAATATCTCTAGGCACCTGACTCGTCCAGAAACACCGATCTTGGAGGATCGTCTTAAAAATCTGAACTGGTGGCCGATCCAGTGTCTGAAGTCACTGGAACAGGAGCTCGCCTGCGCTCTCTCACGCCACGTTCTTGAATTCCATCCAACTTGGGCACCCGGCGCGCTTTTTCGGGACGCAGGCCTTTCAGGTAAAGCCAGACCTTTTGGGCCCCCTGGATGCGATGCAATGTGGCCACTTCTGCAATCTGCCAACCACTTTGTCCGGGTAACTGGACCGTCATGTGACGCAGCGCTTTGGGTTGGAGGTCAGGATCCCGCAAGGCCTTCTCGGCGAAGCGTGCCACGCTGGAGCGGATCTTCTCCCAATCGGTGGGTTTGACCAGTTTTCCTGGACAAAGAGAGACTGGGGAAGTGCAAGGTATATCCCAAACACTCCGAACATATCGTTCTTTTTTTCATCTTTGCCTGCATTGGGTGTTTTGACATTTTGAGGGGTCAATGTGTACATACAGAGAGAACGGTGCATCTTATTCTACATATTATAGTTGTATTACATGATATTACATGGATTGCCTGAGATCTATGCCTCGTTCGTCCGTCCGTGACCCTTCCGTTCCTTCCCCAGTTGGTGCGGTCATTTCTTTCCCGTTTGTAAAGAGGTCGCGACCTGATCGAATCGAGTCATCTCCTGGACCTCGATCACCTCTTACTGTCACAAACTTGCCAACTTGCCAACGGACGACTCAGAGAAAAACCTCGCCGCCGAGTGACGCAAGCTGGGCATGCTCGATTGCAAGGCCAAGCGCAAGTCGCCGGTGTCTGCACAGCGTTCGAAGTTTAAGTGCGCTTGTTGCACATCCTGAAGCTCGGTGGTGACATCCACCAGCATGGTGATCTCCTGCAACTCCGGACCTGACGGAGGACGAAACGGGAACGACGACGAATTCTGGAGCGTCCAACGTCAAGAGACGTTGAACGACTTGGGAGGGTCCCCCATGCAGTTAAATCCTTTTTCTGGCTGTTGCATATGGGCAAAACTCAAGGATGTATCATGATTATCACAGCAAGAGAGTCCAAACAGTGTTTAAAAGGAAGCAAGACAAGGGTGAATTAACGAGCTGCCACATTGTAGAGCACACGCATGAGAGCACGTAAATGAGAGCAAAGCTATGACTGAGCACACATACAAGAGTATGTAAGAGCACACATGAAGGAGCACAAAAGAGCACACACACACACACACATGACAGCACCGGACGTGCTTTCAGCGTTGTCGTTTGGACGCGCGATGGTGGCAGTGATGGGCGCTGACAATGCTTGTGTGCGCACGCGCATGGTGTGACACTCGTGTTCTGTTTGCACTGCATGAGATGCCCGCCAAACTTCCCTTTGTGCAGTTTCCTTGGCCCGGGCAGGGCAAAGCGATCTAAATCTCGGATTGACAAATTCATGGCACATGTTTTTGGCAAGTTGTTTGCTCGTGCGGCGTTAGTCAGATTTGCCTCACGCTTTGCTTTCCTGAACTTGGAGCACGCAATATTCACAAGTGCACTGCAGTGACATGGGCATACATATACACATACATACTTGCGACTGTACTGGACTTGTTATCATGCATTACAAGTGTGTGAACATGGTATGCAACTCGATGAAGCGCACCCCTACACAAACACTGTATATTTGTTGGCTGTCCTGCCCCCTGCTGGCAACCACTTTGAGTCTGTTTGTACTTGCAGTATACACTGACGAACTTAGCATAGGAGAGCCATATAGCAAAGCACTTCGCGGTGCACAGTGCGCTGCGCCTGCCACAAAATCTGCACGTGCACCTCTCTCAAAGCGCCGCTCCTGCCACACATTCTGCACTTCGAGGTTTACAAAGTGCTGCACTGCACCTCCCACAAAATCTGTGCATCATGATCCACGTCGGGCAGCCCTGCCAGTGCGCTTCGCAAATAAGCTCCAGATGCAATCAACGCGAAGCCTTCTCACGATACTTCTCCAAAAAACTTCTCCCAAATTTCGTAAGGAGCCACATGTCCAAAGTTCATCAAAGTTCACCATTCACTGCGCCTGCGACGGAAATCAAAGTACGCCAAAGACCACCACCAAGTTCAAAGAGCCCTGCTTGCCACGAATCTGCACAAAGAAGTTTACAACCACTCCGATCTCCTGCACCAGGCAAAGTCGACTTCAGACCACCAAAACACCAGGATTCCTTTGCGCATGCAACGAAGAGTGATCTCCAAGTCCGAAAACGTGGCGCGGCACCACAACGAGAGCGCACTGGAGGAAAGCACCTGCTCGGGAGCCCCCGTTTTGTGCTTCGCCTGCGCAGAGGAACTGTTGTGCTGTAAGGATCTGCAACTTTGCCGCTCCACGCCGGTGAGCTGGTGAGTACCCTTGATCAAACTAAAAGCTTAACTAGTTATAGATACGACTAGCGCAAGAACCTCCATATAATGGTCACTGTCTGAGTAAAAATGGGGGACTCAAGGCCAAAGACCCAGAGCGAAGAACTAGACCATGTAGTGGCTGCAGGGGGGTCTTCTTATTCTTATACACACCCACAAATCAAAGGAATTAGGGATCCACATACAATTCTGAAGATATTAGATCCCTCCAAACCCACACAAAATCTTCCCCAGCCACCTTCTGAGAGTTGAGTTGTGACATGCCCATAGCTTCCCTATCATGACTTCCAGATCCAGGAAACCAAACAAACCGAACTCTTCAGATCTCCAAGTTTACAGCGAAATACTCACATGAGGTCTTCCTTGCTTCATAAGCCTTCTTGCCAGGTCAGAGTAGGTGCAAAGAAAAGAACGGAGAGAAACCACAGGAAGTCTCCCTGCCCGGAGGTCCATATGCTTACAATAGAGACTCAAAGACTCAAAAAGTATAAGGTCCATATGCTTGCAATAGAGACTCAAACAGTATAAGCTCCATATGCATACACTAGAGACTCAAAAAGTATATATAGTCCATATCCACTCCACAAAGAGACTCCTGGCACAAAACCAATCCTAGGGGCAATACTCCTCAATAGCGATGCCTGAACTCTTCCCAGTGCTGCCCGAGACCGACGAATTCGAAGCTCCAAGTGCGCCACGCTTGTCGGGCCGCGTTCCATCTGCCCAGGCGTTCACAAGCTCCTTAGGATTGGCCAACACGGGCAGAGTTTACCGCAAAGCACGAAGACAAAGACCCAACCAACACATGACCCAACCCACCCAACCCCGGTGATTTTACCGATTTTACGTGGGTGTCCAACAAAAGGTTCTGTTATCAAGGGGGGTGGGAAGGTACAAGACATTTGAAGTCCTATTTGCTAAGGAAGTCCACATTCCTCTTCGCAACTTCGAGGCTCGGAAGGAACAGCATCTTCCTCTGCTTCGGGCAATGGCCGGGGTTCAGAATCTTCTTTGAAAGCGATCAAGTGGTAGGGGGTGCTGGAACCAAAGAGTCCCGGCACCGGCACGTGGTAGATATCAGCGCCCACCTGAATGCCTTTCGCGCGAAAAGCGCGCAAAGCGCTCGGGAGAGATCATCGGCTCCGCGGATCCAACGAGTTGGGTGGGATGAGACTGGGTTTGATCTGTGAAGAAGAGTCTCGAACAGGATCTCCCTGAAACGACTGGAATCGATTTTGATATTTTATACGACTGGAACGTCCGAGAAGTCCACATCATCTCTTACAATGCGAAAAGGACAGCAAGATAGATCATTGAGGCTGCAATTTCATTCGGAACGGTGCTTTCTGAAGCTGTCCGTGGTTCTAGCTTGTTCATTCTGGACAGTAGTTTCTGAACCGGTTTTAGTGTGTCAACCCTAGTTTGTGAACCTGGGCCAGTTTCCAAACATTGTCCTGCAATTTGTTCGATGATTGATGATTTGGTCGATGGTCCCACATCAGCCCTGACTGCCAAACACTGTCTGCCGCCGTTTACTCATCTAGGATCACTCCTTCAGACCAACGGGGAAAAACACAAGTGAGCAGCCAAAAGCTGGTGCAGTTTTTCCTCAAAAAGGTGGTCAGACCCAAAGCCAAGTGAACACTCAACTCAACATGCTTTCCTAGGTGTCCTGCATCCACGAGCAAAAGCGAGTTTCCTAATGAGCACATTGTTCGTTCTTGAGACTTCTGCTTCTGGAAGGCAGTGTTGCTATATGTTGCTATATATGCATGTATATACAGTATATATATATATACAGCAAATGATATTGAGAATAATGAATCCGCATCCTGTCAATGGAAGCATTTGAGACCATCCATCATTCGCGGCATGTGCCTTTCCGGCCTACCGCCCGCCTGCTGATCCACGGAAGGACACGCGCAAGCACAAGGGCAGGGCCGAGCCTTTGGATTCCGGTGTGCCAAAGGCCTGCGTGGAGGTGTTGATAAATTCGTGGAAGCGCTGCTGCTCCTCGTCCACCAGCAAATGTTGGAAGGATCTGCCCTTAAGGCTCACGTTGGTGAGGATCAAATGCTTGAGGCACTCGCTTTCCTGCATGTGCTCCCCTTTTTTTCCCAGTCACTGGGAAAGATGGGTTTCTAGGTCTAGGTGCTCTTTGTCTTTGGAACCAGTTCTCAGCAGGTCCACTTTATTAGTCATGGAGTTATGATGAAAGCCTTGCAAAGTGGATGCGAAAGAAGGACTCAGTGCTGGATGCAGTCAAAGCTTCAACATCTCACATACAAGTAGCAGCAGCATGGTCTCTATGCATGGTGACGTGTTTTCGGCATGAAAAGGTAGAATCAATCATGCCAAGGTATAAAACAAACCAACACAAACAACACAAAAGAGATACTAAAGCAACAACATAGCAATATATCCGATATCTTCTGCAGAGCAGCAGTTGACCCACCCTACCCTCGGTGCTTGCTGGCTGCTTTCGCTCCCCACCGCCCCTGGCCTGGGCAACATTCATTTGGCCATCCAAGAGCACCTCTCCATCACATGCACCTCTCAAAACACGTCGGAAGCCTTGGATGCTCAGACGCACGCCAACTTGACGCGAAAAACATGCCCGGAAATACCGTGAAAATGCTTCGTCGCAGCCCAAATCGATGTCCTTGACAAGAATTCAAAGAGGCCTTCCTGTAGATAGTGGATAAAACACAAACAGGTTCTCAATTTTTGCGGAAAGAACTCCAGTCTGACCCCATTTGTCAGAATTTCTCATGGCGCCGGTTCTCGTCCTCTTTCTGGAATTGGACTCCGATCCGCACCTTCGACCCCGTCCATCCCCGAAACGTCCCGTCAACAAGCAGTTCCAAAGGGGTGCGATCCATGGAGGTAGTCGGGATGACCAGAACATCCACTCACTTAGGAACTAAACACTACCCCTTTCTCACTCCTGGTGTCTTCTTTCGGATGCTTCGTTTTTCTTTGTTTCGTCCCATTGCCAATCCGGGCCGCTGGACACCAACGACTCCGCATCCGCCGTTTCGAAGAGCGCATAGAGGCGACCCCGGAGCAGTAAGTCGATGAAAATGGACGAGGCCACGGTGGAGACCAGGATAAAGAATTGGCTCACCTAGCTTCAGACGTTGGATTTTAAGGAACCCTACGGGTTCAATGCCTCCGTTTTCTCGGATCAATGACTCCACTAAAGTTGCTAAGAACATGTGACTATCAAAAACTTATGTTATGTAACATTTGCTATTGTATTTTGAAGGTGTTTTTCTATATTTAACTCGTTGGTGTTGTACATATAAAGAGGTCTATCTCTATCTGAAGGCAAAAGAGCTGGATGGTACCTACAAACTGCTCATGCCTTTGGAGGAGCCTTTCTAAATCGGACTTAAATTAGTGAGCAGGTGCCAGTATACACGTTCGCCCCTTTACCGTGACTCTACCGTGACTGTAGCGTGACTCTACCGTGACTCTAGCGTGACCCCCCCTTGTTCGAATCGTTGTTTAACACACACTTTAAAGAAACACGAGTTGTACAGTATAAAAAAACTCTGACTCTAGCGTCACTCTGGCCCCTCCAATGCACATGTGTGTTTCCAGAAATCGTCAGAAATGGAGGGCAGCGTACTGAGCGGTATGCGGTTAAAATTGCGCCTGAAGCTCGCGATTGCCAAGAAGAGATTGGCACGCATGGATGTTTACAAAGCATAGCCCAGGTAAAAAAAAAGGCTAGCTATTGAACTGCATTGTTTTGAAAAATGTGCTGCCGTAACTTATTTAAATCATATATGTATTTTTTCACGAACGTGTCTTAACGAAAGTTTTTGAAAGTCAAGTAAAATGTGATGCCGTTCAACTGCGTCACATTTCCTACATCCGAGGAAAACTGCATCGCTGGATGTATAGGGGAGCATTAAGGTATGTGTATGCGCCAAAACGAGTAGCGCAAAGCGCACGTTGGCCACTGCTCCGCTGAAATGGGGTTGGCGACCAAGCGCCAAATTGGCCAGACCAAAACCCATCGATCGCACCAGTTCCATGATTGAATATTGTTTCTGGGATTCTGGTGGGTCAGCCGAGCATGGATTTAGGAAGTCAAACTATATAAGAAATCCTCCGGTCTTACGGAAGAGGTCCAAGTGGTCGAAAATGCCCGCTGTCCACTGAGGATTCCACACCTGAAACCATTTTTTCCCCGATAGATAACCACTGGTTTGCTCTCAAGGTTAGCAATCCAGTCACCAGCACGCCTGATCATAGCAACCAGCATTGGAGCCACGAATGCAGAGAAACACAAGAAAACGGACGCCCCAAAGTCTCCCCAAACGCAAAAAAATGAATGAGTTTGGGAAACCCAGCTTCACATGCGCCTTTGCTTGTCAGGTTTTATCCGATTTAGGAAGCAGCAAGCTGTCAACGCAGGTCGGCCGGAAACAACAACACCCACCCCGACGTGCACCAAAACCGGGAGACTCCGTTGCTACCCTTGGTGCTTTGGATTGTGAAGAGTGAAAAGCTTCGTCCGTTCGTCCGTTTTTTAAAGGTAACGCAAGCGTGCTGGAACTGCTGGTTTGCTGCGTTTGCTTGCAGATTTCTTTGGGCAGCTCCCAACATGGTTGCGGGAAAAACGTAAAGCGGTAAATCCATGGATGGCGAGGGCCGGTATGGTGCCCTGCAGTTCGGGGAGAGAAGTCTTGCGTTCGCTGAGGGGCTGCGGTCATGTGTGAACGCCTTGAACTGTTGATTCCGAAGACGCCCGAAAGAAGAACAGGCGTCTGGGTGCCTGTGATGGCCAAACGAGGATTGCCAGTCTGAGTGTGAATGCTTAAGAACCAACCCAAAATAAATTGCAAAAGTACGTTCGTGTGTTCAAACACAGGCTCACCAGGTTCATGTTCATTGGGTTCCAATGCGCAGGTCTTTTGTTATATCGAGATACGTTGAGCCTCATTGATTGCCATGAGATTGTGGAGACAGTTCATTGGTTCATCGGGTTGTAGATTTTAGCACGCGTGCACTGGAAAATGATTGAATGACTGACTGACTGTTTTGGGGTCAAAAATCATCTTGCCTTTCAAACCAATTGTCAACGGGTTCTGGGCATCTAAAACTCAACAGTTATAGTATGGATGTCCCACATATAGACCCCAGAAACCATCCAAATGGTCCATATGCCTGACCCATGGAGTGCCTGGGACTGGCATAGTGCTCGCTACTCGTCTCCTTTTCAAGATGAGGAGCAAGTACCCTTTAGGACCAAGATGAGCAAGTACCCTTCGCTACGGCTACTGCCTGTGGGGTGGGGGAACCTGGAACTGGGTCGGAATCAAAAACACCTATGGAAACTGGAACGGTGCAAATTACTAAGGTCACCTCCAAAAACTTACTTTCCAACTAGGTTTGTTTAAAACGGCGTAAATCTGGCGAGGCGGAAATTTTTGGATTTTTATGGTTTCGGTGAAGATTGCGCGGTTGAGAAGTTAGGGCTTCAAGCTAAGAGAACACTCATCTATCAAACGCCAGGTTGGAAACCCTCTGTGGACGATGTTTCAACAAATGTCATTCTTGAAACGGAGTAATTTCCCAACCAAACGGAGTAAATTCACAAACAAATGACATATGTGTTTAAAGTGCTTTTTTGGAGGGCTTGCAAAAAATTAGATTGAAGGCCTTCCTGCGCATTTTCGGCGAGCTTCCAAGAGAACACATCTATCCCACAGGCCTGAAATAGGCAACCGGCTGAAACGCAAGTTTTTTCAAACGGCAGAAATTCTTCAAGCGGAAGAATTTCCTTGAGGCTGATGAGGCGGAAGAAAGTGTGTACCAGTGACTTCTCTAGGTATGCATCCTTAAATACCGTATATGAAAGGAGTCATTAGATTCATTAGATGACACGGCTGAAAACCACCACAGGTATGCAACAGCAGGTCTCCTTTTTCGTGCAGCGCGTGTTGGAGCAGGTCTTTCCAAGTAGAGACCGATTGAACCGAACCGGGCCTGAAACCCACGTGCCCTGTCCCATTTTCAATGACCACAGGCTCTATAGTTACACAATAAGCACCGTGAGAACTCTGGCCCACGCAAACTTAATGTGTCCAACATCCACCTTCAGGCGAGCTGCAGCCTTCAAACTGCCAGCCGCACTCCTGGCAAAAGGAAACCTCACGGCCATAGTGCCACCCGCAGCACGCTCCTTAGGCTGCGTCGACGCAAACCCACAAGAATCGTTCAAAACGTTGGCAGGTGCTTGAGGCAAGCCAAAGCCAGACTCCAAACACACCAGCAGGCGGAAAGGCCACCTTACGAATACACCTCGCCAGTCTATAGGGAATCTCCTTGGCATGATCATGGGCCTGTTTCGGCTTGGCTTTGACCGTGAAAAAGGCAGCCCATCAGCAAGCTTCCGCAGCTTGCGTTGCAGGCGCGCAGGGCACCGGCCTGTGGAGGGCCCATGTTTCATTTACCATGCGAGACACAACTTGAAGCAGCTTAAACAAACGGCCCCGGAACCCCAGTGCACATCGGGAAGCCTTTCGTGGCAGCAATCATCGGCCACGCAACGGCGCAATCACAGCGCTCGCAACGACAACCCTGTATCAATGCTGCAAGCTAAGCACTGCACAATGCTTTGTCAACACACGCACTGCCACCAACTCAACTGTAGGCCCACAATTCTTTGCACAACGTTGCTCAAGTCAAGAGGTGTTGGCAGCGACGGAGCTTGGAGCGGTACCTCCGCTACCAATGTAGTTAGCAGCTTGTCAATAAGAAACTCCACTCTTCCCCCTCCGACAGCGAAACCCGCTGACACCTTTCTTCCACTCACAGCTCTGCTGAAAGTCCACCTGAGTCTTCTGCAGGCGTCCTCGCCTTTGAACCAACGACAGTGCGGCCTCGCCCGAAATGGCGCCCGCCCTCGCCGCTCTATATATATATATTATGCATATCTGTGACTCATCCAACTCCTGTTGATTCTCTTTTGGCTGGCGGATGTCAGGGGCCATTGAAACATCCCGAGCAAAAGAAAAAAGACGATAGCACTCCCAAGTGACACACAAGGGCCCCAATTCCAAAGTGTTCCGGTCGAAGACGAAGAAATACATTGACCTCAGAGCTGGCAAAGCTGCAACCCAATTGATTAATGTCGGCAAATATGACCAACGTTCAAAACCCCAAAAAGACAGTAAATGTAGATCATTGGCGGCTCAGATGGATGGATCCGGGTGCTTTGGGCTTTCGGTCATTGCAAGGTACCCATGGTATGATGATTTGATGACTTGAAACGCCCTGGTGCAGCGATTGATTTGTTTCGGTGCAGCCGTGCGCCGTCGGATGGCTTGGAACAGCTTCATTTGCCGCGTTGAACTGCATCGTGTTCCAAAGAACAAGAGTCAGAGTCAGATATGCGGTTCAAATACATGGAACACTACATACCTGCAGTTCAACTACATTTCTGTGGCATGAGGAAGTGGCTTCGATGGAATGTTTAAGTGACTTCGATGGAATGTGAAGGTGGAAGCTACCCAGTCAATTTGAAGGCCACAGGAAAAGTCAGTGCACACCATTGTTCCAAGGACGGCTAAACAAAAAAAAGGACACCAACAACTTCCAAAAAACGAACACCGGGTCCCTCCAAACCGTTTCGCGCTGGAAGAAAGCATCGTAGAAGATCCGCCCAACAACCCGTGTTGAGACACCACAAGGTTCCTCCCCTTCCGGACACCCATCATCCTGACCAAATGATGCATCAGGGGCGTCTCGGTGGCGGTGTAGAGTACTTGAAAAGGAATCGAGATCCATGGATCCAAGAATAAGACCACCTTGGAGGAGGGACGAGGGAGGGAAGGACCTGATCCGATGATGAACCTTGGTTCTCAGTTGCCGATGTTTTTTGGCCTAGAGGGGGGGCGCAAACGAACCCGTGGTACGTGTGGGATCGAAATTGAAGTTCGAGGCGTTTACTGGGTCATGTCGTGCGTTTAGAGGTCACTGGCCTTTCGGGGGGGTTGTATATACACAAAAGAATCATGGGATTGGGCCATAGCCCATGGAGCCTCCCTCAATGTGCAAATGCAAATGTCTACAGACTTGAATTAACCATATGGTCGATTGAGAGCGGCTTTCTCGGCTGTACCCGTGACTTCCCTTTTGGGACATTGATCTTCCCTTCCTTGACACTAGCAAATCTGCCGGAATCCCGGCCCTTTGACACAAATGGTCTTGATCTGATGAATCCTCCCTCATGCTAGAGGTCTTTTTCTGGGGTACAGCAATTATATACATGCCGGCCATTTTCGTCCAGACATTCAACGGACAAAAAGGGCAGAGTTTTTGGGAAACCTTTCAACTCTTGGTCTCAGAGAGGCAGGCGAGAGGCAGGCGCACTCTTGGGAATGCTGGGTAGAAAGAACTGGGTGGTGAAGCGGGTTTGTGAGCAGCATGCTTGGCTCAAGAATCTTCATGTCATGGTGTTCCAGATCCTTTTGGGTCAGTCAGCCCGCACCCGAGCGATTCGCCGGACCACGTGCATCGATGAAGTCCTCAAGGTATCTAGATCCATATGCCCCGAATGATGGTTTTAGGCGGTTTCAGAGGCTCTTAGACAGGATGCACTCCCGGATGGACTTGTCTATTCCATTCCTAGCTTTCATTAGGTGATCAGTTAAGGTGATAGCACAAGCCCAGACCATCGTTTTGTATGGAATTATTGGGGCACACATGGATACAAATGGGGTTTGTAAAGCTTATGTGTTAGTCTGTATATTTCCATACGTGGATGGTCTGGGATAGGTAATGTTGTTCCACCAAGTTGGCTTTGTTGCGCTTTCCACAAATGTCCTCACTCTCGCTCGATGGATATCGAGATCGGGTTCAACTACGTCAGCCGGGCCACAGGGCAAAAGCGCATGGCCACCTGATGCTCTAAGTGGCCACATTGACATGTGGCCACAAGGCAACACCAGTTGCGGACACGTCACCAGGGTGGGAGCACTGGTGCCAAACTTGAAAAAATGTTTGGACCTACCCGCTTGGAACTCAGATGTATCCCGGCCAGAACATCCTAAATAAAGGTGCCAAGTAAAACCCTGTTTGGATGTGAATGTTCGGGTGATGATCTTGGCAGCATCTGTCAGCGGTGTCTACTACCCCGTAATGATGTGTCAAGACTCCACCCAAGACACAAGGATCACAAGGGTCCTGCGTTGTCACCCGGAGATATCTTCCTTCATCCGACCCGAAATTTCACGTCAGCCGCCAGGCGACTTGCAAGCCCTGCATCACGGCAAATTTGAAGATGCTGGCCGATGCGCACGTACTCAGAATCACCGGGATCAGCAACAAATGGGTTACAAACGAGAGGACTTCCTCGGCCGAGAGTCCGCTTTTCCCGCTTTTGAAGGCCGCAACGGGCTGGAGAGGCTGCATCAAAGGCAAAGGTGGGGATTGTGAGACCCCAACCAACGGGTTTTGGTCTACAAAGTCCATGGTCCTCTGCCCAAACATCTTTAATACAGTAATTCTTTATATCTTTGGGGGGGGTCTCTGTCTCCCCCCAGATCTCCTTTTACGGGGGTCCCTATGCTAATCTAAATAAAGGCGGCTGTGACCAAACAAGATTCAATTAACACACCGAAGAGAAACAACACCCTTGTGGAACGCTCTTGGCCAGTGATGCCCTTGTAAAGAAAGCAGTCTCGTTGATCAATCGCAACAGGTTTGTCCTTCCCTTGGTATGTTCGTCTCATTACATGCTAATATGGTATCGACTCCGTCGTGTACGACCAGTAGGCAGCTCCATCTTTTCTCTACGTTCCTTCACCATCGATGATCTTCGTGGCAACCCAAGAGATGAAGAGGGCAAACCCAAAGCCTTGCAGACCTGATGAATAATCAGCCAGGACTGTAGCCCAGCAACTGTTTACACTTGAAAAGAAATGCACCACCCACAAAATCCCACTCGACTCCCACGCTAATCCAAGCTTTCGACCCCAAGGCATGCCCGGTCGGATTTTTCAAAAGCGAGGAAATCGACAAATTGGTCAAGACGCCATGATTAAAGGAGTCAATTCCACCCAACCACTGCCAACGATCAAGTACTGCACATAGCAAACTGTGCAGAGCCCCAACGAGGTCATCGTGTCGAGTCCAGGGGCTCGAACAGCCTTGCGGAGTCGGATGGAGGCCACCGCTAGTAGGTTGCAGGCCATAGCTAGTAGGTTGGAGGCCATTGCTAGTAGGTAGGTTGGAGGCCATCG